CTCATTTAAAAGCTACTTGGATTTTGTCAGTTTCAAATTTCAATCCATGCTATAATTCTGTCATGTAGTGTACTCAAATTTGGGTGCATTTTAATTCTTTGTTTAGAAAATGTATTTTCTTAATGAGACATTTTTTACATGTCAACATGAAGGAGATTTGAGGCTATGTTGGAATTAAACAGATTAATCATTGTATAATTTTGTATCAGGCTTTTGTTCGTTTTTGCTGTAATTATTTTTTCTAAATAATTAGTTACGGATAAATAGTTTATAATTATGTGTGTGTGTGTATATATATATATATATATATATATATATATATATATAGATATAGTTGAATGTAACAAGCATTCTTAGAGGTCCACCTAGGACATGGTTACAAGTGCATATCATGGAACACTTTCATAATTTTTCATTCATTTTGTCTTTGTCTCCTTGTAACTCAACAACTATGTTGAAAATTTTAATGTCCTTATAGCTGCACTTCCCAATGCACCTTCATTTATTGCCACCAAATCCAATTCCCACTATAATGACTACCCACTCTCTTCATTTTTAATTGTTGATTTCTTTCGAATTTTATTTTTATTTTACGTTTTTGTAAAGTTGAAAATTATATTACCTTTCAAGAATTTCAACAGAATTAAAGTATTTCTTTTATGATCTATAAGATTGTGCTTGAATATATTAATTCGATAATATAAATAGAATCTTTTGTATAAACTAATTGTTTATTGGAAGTAAAAGTCTTTCTATAATATCTTTAATAACATTTTCATATTAAAATCATGAAAAGAAATTTATTTTCATTTCAATGGGGAAAACAAATTTAGGATATTTTTAGTGGGTAGTCATTAAAGATAAGTGATATTGTATGAAAAAAAAAGATATTTATTGCAGAAAAATAAAGATAAGTGATATCTACTATAGAAAAGAACTTTAAATGATAAAAAGGTATATTTGAAAAAAATTAAAAAATTATTAAAATTTGCAAACCTTAAACATCACATATTAAGTAACAGATGAAGTATATTTTATTTTGATTATGGGTATAGTTTTTTTATAAAAAGTGAACAACAATAAGAAAATATATTATAGCATTTACGTTTGTGTTATGGACCGTGTTATGAATTCTCAAATAATTTTAATTTTATACAAACTTTTTAAGACATAATTTATAAGACCAACCACTATAAATAGTAGATGAAGATTTATTAATATGAATTGATAATGTAACAAAATGAGTGATTCAATTCTCTTTCTTTTCATATGCGTTAACATTAATTTTTTTGGAACACCACGTGCAGAGTTTCATTCAACTGGGAATCTTCCAGCAAGCCACAATGTAATTTTTTTCATTTTCTATGAGAATTTGAGGTTCCAAATGGCACAACAATGTCGTCCAAATTCTCTATAATATTATGAAAATAACAACACTTGATAGAGGATTTTGGTGTAAAGTTAAAGATCGTTGTATAGTTGATATAAGATGGAAAGTGATAAATTCAAAAGATAAATTATATAAATATGATTTAAGTTCAATTTATTCACATCACTTTCAATCCAAAACCTTAATATAATAAATTTAATTATTTTTAAAAATTTATACAAATTTCTAACTATTTTTAGAAATTTCTAATCTTTTTTACATTTATTTAATTCTTATAAGAATTGTGATTATGAATTGTATGAATATGTGAATAGAATTGGTTATCATTTTTGGAGTTTATATGAATGTATTTATATCATTCAATGGATGTAGTAACATTATTCAACAAAGTTAAGTGGGCATTTATATTCAGATGATTATTGTGTAGGTTAAGGGATACATAACAGCCACATGCATATGATTCAATTGGATTTGAATGAATGATGTTTTAACCTTCATTCCTTCAATTTCAAACAATGTATAGTAATAATAAATAAATAAATAAATACTTTACACACCCTAAGCTCACACAATCGATCATCCACATCACTTTGTTATTTATTTAAAATATTGATAAATAAATAAAATATAATATAATCAAGCAGCCTTTAAGTCCAATAACTTTCCGTAATAAGACAAAAAAATTGACATAAATAAGGAGTACAAGGTTGTTGAAAATACATATATAATAACTTAATTTCATCAAAGGAAATGATGGCATGTGAAACTATAGTAAATAATTAACTTTGACTTAACTTTTTTTTTCCTCCATTTGATTACTCATTTACTGTCTCCCATTTTTATGCATCTCTCTCCCTCTTCTCATGAGTGTGTTGTCTGAGAGTGCTTTTTTAAGAAGATAAAATGACCAACCATGGCTTCACAAGCACCAAATGCAATGTGTATAAAAACAATTAAAAAATGATTTCTTTACTTATTTATTTATTCTTCTGTTTCTTCTTTTATATATTAAACCCTAGATTCCTATCTATCATCTCGGATCATCACCATATGGCTCTTTCTATTTCTTCATTCCTCTCAATCTACCATCTTGGTTATTTACACTTCATGCTCAATTGCTACTTATACCTCTGTTTTTTTCCAAGTTACTCCTTCTTCATTTCCTCTTATCAGTTTCAAAACTGCTTCGTCTACTCTCTGATTCTTGATATATCTCTCAAATACTTTGAGTTTCATTGAATTCCTTCCTCTAAAACACTTATAATATGATGCCAATTCATTAAAGTACAAATTTTCTTAAGCTCAATTTAATTTCATGTATAGACTTTAATTACTTTTCTCCTTTCAGTTTTCACTTATATTGTTGTTTTTTGAGCTATGTTTTAAAATTTGCTCAAGTTACCTTATATATTTGTGATCACCTTTGTTATATTTTATTCTTTGTTTTGTTTACCAACCTAGTCATGCTCCTTCTCAGAGTAATATACAACAAGAAAGGGAATGTTGTCATTCATCTATATGATTGAATTCTCTTTTCAGACCAAGAATATGGTTGTCTTGTTGTCAAAGTTGGTATCTTTTTCAGTTGACAGGAACAGTTACTTCTGTGTATCTTAGTCAACTTATATAAACTTTTATTTAGTTAATCCTGTTATGCCTCACAATGCTATGTTACATTCCATGTCAAATATTCACAATGATTTGATCCTTATATATATATATAAATATATATATATATAATATGATGATGATGGCTCTAATAATTTGTTTACACGATTAGGTGGTAGATGAAATAACTAGAGAACTAAGTTGTAGTTTGAAGATTAGAAAATGTGTGGTTGATGTTTTGCTTGCCTTCTAAACCTCCAAGAGATTTTATATAAAGCATATGATTACAAAACTTGTCTGTATATATTGCGAGACTTGGCAGCAAAGCATGTGTTACCATTACTGGTACTGGGCCAAAAGTCATATTGAAAACAAATTTTATTATTCTTACTAACACAACAGTTTTACACCAACTTCAATTATTTCATTATTGGTAATTTTTTTAAATAATTATCCTGTAAATTTTTAGTACATTCAACTATCGCATTGTCTGTATAAATATTTCCCTTTGATCTACTAGAAAGTAAGTTTTAGCTTAACACATTACCAAATTGATTTCTTAATATAATATCAAAATCTATTAATCTATTTCAATAATGTTTGTTACTGATCATGTCATTTTTTTATTGAATTATCTATAAATATTTATTCACATATACTATATGTATATTAGTAAATATAATTTTAACTAAATGTGAAGTGGTTCTCTGATATTATTTATAAAATCCATTCAATTTTACGCTCTTTCTATCTTTTCATATTTATTAAAATATTAAAGATTGGTACATATGTATATAACTTGTGGTGAAAAAATATCTTTGTTAATTCATAACTATAATTCTTTTACACCCTACACTTTTCTATATTTAACTTGTTTTTTTTTATCACATGGGTTATCTTATTATTTAATTTATCGTTCTTCCCTTTAAATGGGTCTTATAATAAGATGTATTAAAAAAATGTGTTTATATGGTTCCATAACCTTTTGTCTTAGTGTTGCTTGATACTCGACCAACAAATGTAACTAATAATTATACCTTTTCTTTTATCTTTGCTGCCAAGGAAAGGAAACACGCAGTACAAGGATGTGACCACATGCTCAGGTGAATATAAATAATTAATAATTCAGTGAAATATTTCGTATTTAAATATCTATCAGAAATTGTGTTATATTTGTTGTCTGTTAACGGCCAAATTATGCATCTTTCTTGTGATTTGTGGCTAAACTTCATTTTTTATCTATTATTTTCAAAGTTTTAATTGATGTAAAAAATATAAAATTGAAATCAGTTCTTGATTAATGTAAAAAGTATATATATATCATAATCGGTTTCCACTTTAACGTAAATAAATACACCCTAAAATAACACTTTTTTGTGTATAGAAATTGGACATACTACATTGATTTAGTTTATAATTGTTGCGAATAGGTCATTTTTTTACAACAATTTTGATTAATAATTGATATAAAACGCCACCTTTTAATAATAATTGTTTGATTTATTGTAGATATCTATTTATACAAGGGAAAATTTTGTACTTGGCTAAATAAACTTAAGAAATATAATTTCTTTTTTTCAGATAAAATCAATTTGAAATTTTCCTTTAAATCAATTCTAAAATAGAAAGTATACTATGAAATGATAAGCTATGGGTAGAGGTAGGCATGGTAATTCTCCAAAAATTATGTTATTATATTACAAGAATGATGAAATCAAAATTCACTCTAGCTATATGAAGTAAGTACTCTAAATTAAAAAAAAATGTCAATAAATCCTAAAATAAAAAAGTAAAAAATTATAGAAAATTGTCGCTTTGAACTAGGTTTCAATACACCCCATTAAATAATAGAAACATTTATTCCTTATTAGAGACAAGGACAAAATAAAATACAAATAAAGAAGGTAAATAATCAATAAGTCGTTAATTAAAATTTAAAATAATATTACCAACATAAAAAAAGATAAAGAATATTCATTTATTCTATAACTATTTGATTTGACTTTAAAATACAAACATAACATCATCTTATATGGCTAGAGCCAACCACACAATAACTACAAATTCTGCAAAGCTTATCTCTCATAGGAAATATGATCATATATTCTACAGATTATTTTTCTATTCCAATAAATTTCAACTTGCTGCTAGCAAGAGGTGAAGCCAAGGAGTTCACATGCACTAGCTTTAATGTCATGTATTTCATTTCTCTTATTATGTACAAGAAATTGTAAGTTTTCTTTTTTTTTTTTTGGATTTTCTGATATTAACTAATAGTACCCTATTAATAGTATAAACTCAAAATCAATTGAAGCAGGCACTATTTCCACATGTCAATTGGACAGCTTGAGTTTGAAGTTGAGGCATTTTCAGGCATCATTTCCTCCTTGTCCATGTCTCCCAACTGTTCAATGTTGCTATTGTTCTTCACATGAAACATGTTGTTGTTGGTGCCTGTGTTTGAGAAACTGTTCTCTTTGGGTGCATCTTCCTGACTGAGTTGTGAAGCAACATACTTGTCAAGAGCTCTCCAATCAGCCACTTGTTCATTGGCATTGTTTCCAAACACTGCCTGAAAATTTTGTTGCTGAGCAGAGTGTTGAACTTGCTGCATGATTGAGTGTTGAACTTGGTGCATGACATGGTTTTGTTCTACTACAGCATATGGTGAGATTGAGTTGGAGGCAGATTGAAGCAGTTTTTGGTTCTCCAATGGAAGCTGGAGAGGCAAATGGTATGGCAAATCTAGCTCTTTCTTGCATGGATATGGAAATTGGTAGGGCAAATTATTAGGTTGAGAGCTTTGCTTTGGTGAATCCATGTCTTGCATGAAAGAGACTTGCTCATCATACCAACAGGGAGAATCATGCTCACTCAGTTTACGCATGGTTGTTAGTCTCTTTTTGAATACTCTACACACAACCCATCCTTCTTCCTGCTTTAAACCATATCACATTTCTTTTTTTTCAATTCAATGATCAATCGTTGTACTCAAAAACAGACAAAAACGGTTGAAACTACATTAACCACGCATAAGACTCCAAAAAAACAAGAAAAAGTTATGGCTTAAGAGTTACAAAAGCTAACACAGTATCAGAATAATTGCACTTACTTCCATAAATCCACATACTTAAGTGCTTTTGGAAATGTGATTTCAGTGACTTTTTTTTGAAGTTTATGAATGTTTTTGGATATGAAGTTAGAAAAGTTGAGTCTGTTATTAGAGAAAGAAAACTTTGTATTCTCAGTAGAGAAACTCTTGAAAGCACTTCTATTTTGAATCCAATCACACCCCATATGTTTATCATAAAGTTTTCTACACATATATTCCAGTTAAAGAAATCTTAAAAGAAATAAGCATGACATACAGACATCATACATGAGCACTCAACATGTGCAATCAAGTGCAATAGTTTTGTCTGATACATGCACCAACTACATATATAAAAAATAAACTGAAAAATGAAAATAAAAAAAGCAATGCATGATTAAGTTTTATTGAACAAAACTAAATCATGAGAAGAATAGCTTCTTTCTCTGCAGTCATATATGAATGTAATAATTTCTGAAACTTGCCTGTGGTGTGCCATTTTCATCTGTTTCAAGTCGATACTCGTGCATGATCCAATCTGATTTTTGTCCATTGGGTGCTCGACCTTTGTAAAAGACTAGGGTTTTCCTCATTCCTATCAAGTCATGCTTTGAATAGATAGCTTTGTCTCTTCCAGTTGCCTTCCAAAACCCTGCTGCAGTTGCTCTATTTGTGCGAGTTCCTGTTGGATACTTCTTATCTTTATGGCTAAAGAAATACCATTCATTCTGCTCTTCTGTTCCTATTCTGCAAAGCTCTTCATAATTTCAAAACACCAAAATATCAGTGACTTTCTTGTTAAGTTTTAATTCTACAATCCAATTTTACTGTTACCTTGAAGATCCCATGGCTCAATTTTATATAAGTCAACATCTTTTATGACATCTAGGTCAATCCTTCTTGAGGTAACTTTCTTCCTCAGATAGTAGTCAACAAGTTCCTCATCAGTGGGGTGGAACCTAAAACCCGGGGGAACATGAGAAAAACTATTCATATTCTCCCTCTTTCACTTTGATCCCTGCATGAACACAATACATATATTTTAGAATAATTTAAATGTAAGTATAAGTTTCAAGTTTCATATGTAATAGAAAAGATCTGTATATCCAATCACTCTAGATTTTGGGTTAAAAGTAAGCCAATCTTCTATATGCATTGTATATATATATGTGTGTGTGTGTATGCTTGGCTTTCAATGCACATTTTCTACAAGTTGATTATAAATATAGTACCATAAAAACAATAGAACAATTGGCACAAGAGAAAATTGTATATGTTTCTGAAAAGCCAACACAATTGATCATGCAGATATATAGTGTGCTACTATCTTTAAACATAAGGTTGTGTTGTTCTAAGTAAATAAATCTAACAAAGGGTAAGAAATGCATGCAGAAGGTTTAAAACCTCTAAGTCCAATCATTAATAAAATTTATCAATATTAGACACTGAAGGTAATAATCACCTCTACTTAAGAACTAATGCATATGAATAATAAGAGTGCACTGCAAATTGCTTATCAAAAGATAAAAACTAAAAAAGAGTGCACTCCGAAGTTTCTCTTATTAATTTCTCAACGTGATCTTTGTCTAATAATGTTTTCTTTCTGATACAGTTTTGTAGGATCCATAATCAGAAGTCAGAATCAGTTAAAAATTGCTTTCAATATTTTAACATAACATCTACTTATAAATTTTATGCAGATCTAGATTCTGCTAGCAGCTTAATGACAGATAAATGTTCAACATTAGGGTTTATTCCTTAGCTCGTTTCTGGAAGCATGCAGAGGATAATTTTTTAACCTAATTCACCATGAAGGAGGTGAGAATAAAATAAAATTCTTTCCATAATTTCGTTTAACTTTCTAACAAAAGGTTTTACTTTTTACACCTGCAATTGTCTTCTTTTCTTTTGAGGAATTATATTTATATATTACTTACTTTCATAAACAATTTTTACTTGCATCATAAAATAAATATTGCATTTTTATCTCATAAAATGTTCTTTTTTGTTTGAAAGCATATCTAAGGTTAGTAACAATAGTTAGAGATAACTAAGCTTAAATGTTTCAATATTTCCTTTGCATAAAATGTAAGTATATTTCCTCATATTTCTTGTATGCAATTTCAATCTAGCTAGCTAGTTATGCAAAAGATTAGCCTAAAAAAATTAAATTATGCAACACAGATGAGGAACACCATAATTTTTAATCAGAGATGTCTCGGAATAATTAACATAAAAGAGTAGAAACAGAAAAATAGAATAATTGTTGGGTCTATAAAAAAAAATTCCCTAATTTACAAGGCGAGAGTAGGGAATAGCACTTTTCTCCATGCAGTATTTAATAAAGAATGTGAAAATGTTGGAACCGGTCGAGTTCAACAAAACATGTGATCCAAATTTGATTCTTGTTATAGAAATATATAGATACAGATAGATATAGATAGATGTAGAAAAAAGCATGGATGGCCATGATTATTATGCATGTGAAATGCCTACATAGTCAGCAGACATGCCTCAATAGACATGCACGATCCACTATACAATAAGAGAACACACAAGTGATTGACACTCATTGTGATTCCCACTAATTCATAATCCATGCTCCCAAAGGATAAAGTTCATGAAACCCTCAAAGAAAATGGAGATTCAAAACGCAAAAATGAATTAATCACAGTCTTTTCTTCAACCACAGACACCAAAAGTTCTAAATCTGCAAAACATGTATCTATTTGCAGCACAAACATGTAAGTATGTGCAGAGAAATAAAGCAATATACATAGGTATGTGCACCATACACAGTCTACAATTAAGAAGTAAAGTGAAAGAGAAAACAGAAACAGAAATCAGAAAGAGGGTGGTGTGAAAGATCTCAGATCAAGCAACAGATGAAAATATCTACCTTGATTTCTCTTGGAAGCAGCAGATCAAGTGGTGCAGTACAAAATCTTCCACCAAAGATGAGAGAGTTTCTCAGAAAATTGAATTGGCCTTTGACAGTGAATATATATGATGCAAGTTAAGCAAACTGATATATATAACACAGTAGATTTTGTATGCAGCAAGTTAGTAGTAAGAAGAAAAGGGTGAGAAAGAAAGAGGCAGAAGAAAGGTGAGGGTGAAGAGTGGAAGTAGAAAATGGTGAAGGAAAGAAAAAGCAAGTGATGAAGTGTATATATAGTTGTTGTTGTTGGATTATTGGATTGTTTGGATTGTTTTCTCTTAAAGAATAGGAAGTGTGAGATGAGATAGATCTCAATGTCAGAGAGAGCTGAATTGGTGGGAAAGCTTTGAGAGGAAAAATGGCAGACCAAGAAGAGAAGAGAAGAGAAGAAAGGAAAATAAAAGAGTCTCTGTGCTGCCACCTCTACCCGCAACCGATAGAGACACAACCAATTAACAAAGAGTGAAGAATGCAACAAAGGAAAACTCTCTCAAAAGGGTTTTTCTTTCTGTCTATTTATCAGGTTTCTGCACCAACAAGTTTCACTGTGTGTGAATTTGTCTCAGAGGCAAAATGCAAATGCTGAAGGAACAAGAGGAACTAATGCCTCAGACCAAATGCCAATTTAAACATAGCAATATTCAATTCATATAAACTTTTTACACCTTAATTTCTTGAGTGATGTCATATAAGTATATCTATCTATTAAACCATTCATTAACACTTATTATTTTCCCAATCTTTCTTTTTCTATTACATCATATCACATGCTTGTATTTGCACTTTTTTTCTTTTCCAAATGTTTTAGAGTTTAGTGTTACCAAACCTTTTTCCATTTTTTTTATGCAGAAAGAACCTTATGTGCAATATCATAAGCTTATTTTATAAATCAAATATTGCTTAAAAATTATTGAAGTTGAATTATTTTCATGTAAATATTTACCGAAGTTCTACACCTAGTAATATAAAAGAAAGAATATAAGAAAATTGTGATAAAAATGAGGAATTAATGAGTTGTCCCTATAATTTAATAAGTCTTTAGATATAAAGAAAGTTTGTATAATTATGTGTTTATTGGAGATAGGCTAGAAGAGATTATTTTCCTGATAGATATCTCAAACCTTATTTAATAAACTTCACTCTCAATTTTATAGTTTAAATAAATTTTACACCATGATATGTGGTAGTAAGCATTATTCCTCATTCTCCCATTAGCATTAAAGTTTTATCTTGTTAGTTCATACACTAACCTTTAAGTTTAATCTTTTACTTATATTACTTATTAAGGGAAACTATAACTTTAATAAAAAACAAAAAAAAATGCAATTTGACTTCCTCATTTTTACACTCACCTTAATGACTCCATTTATATTTCTTTCTTTATTTTCATCATTTTCAGTGATGAAGAAAAGAAAATCACACCTCAACTTTTACATAGAAAAACAGATTTTTTGCAAAAGTATATTTTTCTCTTGCATGTATAAGATTTAAGTTTCACTTTAGTAATGCATACCAATCTTTAACGTTGAAATAAAACAACCAAAAATACTTAAGACAGTGAGACTATTTTCTTACATTATTATCTTTTCTCCTTATTGTTTCTTATATTGCTATATCATGTGGTCCATATTCCATGTGCAATGAAAAAAAAAACATTTTAATCAGCTTGTCACAGTGTTGACGTAATGAAACAGCTTCCACAGTCTGAGGGAAAAAAAGTTAATTAATTCTCACACAAATGAGGCATGGTGGCCCCTCCTATGCTCCCACTGTGTTCATAGACCCTACCATTTCCACAATCTTCTTCAATTCTAAACTGTGATGACAGTGTTGTGATGATGATACTGAGAATGAGTGACTCTGAATCTCATGGAAAAGCTAGCTTCTGTTCATGTCTCTTTCTAATTAATTCTGCATAAGTGATGGTTGTTCGACATATAATTAGGTTAATGATACAACATTTGCACACCACATATATTTCGGACACCTAATTTTTCAAGGTGGTTCCTAGGCGGAATTAGAATGATGGTACCTGTATTAATGATTATCTTCAGAAAAGTGAAAATCTTAAACCCATAATTATTTAACTTGTAGTGAGACAAAAGTAATAGATGAATGCAATACTTTAAAGTTAGTAATTAACTGTACTCATACTTTCATATTGTAGCTGAGTACGTAATCCACATGTAATGTAACTCATAATTTCTTCTTATATATATTTCAATTGTTTGAAGGCTTTATAGAGTTTTTTTTTTTTTTTAAACTCAAATTTTTTTTCATACATAGGTCTTTGTGTATTGTTTTAAAATATATTTAAAAAACTATTAGCTTCAATGTTTTAAAAAATTATGTATTTCATGTAAAAAAAATAGTCTTGACGTCATTGAAAGCCTTTATTTATTATTTTGTTATTATTATATAGGCTCTTTGCATTATGACCTTTACATCCGACCAAATCTCGTTAGCCTACTGCAGTTTAAGATTGTTTTTACATTATCAGTTTAATCAACAATCTTTATCCATGTGTTTTATTGTTCTCTGATTGATATATTTTGTTAGTATTTTGTATTAGTTGAGAGTTTTGTTTAGTCTTAAAAGATTGTTTTTTCTAAGTGTATGATTTTTTGAATACTTTTTATAAAAAGGTTAGAACATTCAAAATATTCTACTTCATAATTAACTCACTTTTTTTTATTTTAATTAGTAATTTGCTCTTCATATTTATATTTTTAATTTATTTTGATCTTATATCACTAGTGTAGAAAAAACCTTTAATGTTATGTCATGCATATAATGTTCGACCACAAAAAATCAACGTTAAAAATGATCGGTGACAGTTTCGTAAATAAAAAAAGCTTAATAGTCTCTTTTGCCCCAGTTATGCTCGATTGTGTCAATTAGGTCTCTTGTTTAAAAAAAAAGTGTCTAGTTTGTTCTTAATTAGCAAATTTTGTGCTAATGTCGTCCCTTCCGTTAAAAAGAAACAAACGGAGTTAATGGTCTGATGATATGGCAGTACATAGTGGTAACGTGTCATTTTTATGTTGTCTCGTGGTGACGTGGTAAACAATTAGATGTTGAGGTGGATACTACACATTGGGTTATTGAAATTAGGGAAAAATTGAGTTAGGGCACAAGGCATTTTGATTTCTCCAGAGAACAAAGTTCATCACCTACATTGCGAACACAGTACAGTGGTGGATGTTGTTGATCTTGTTTGTCTTCTTCTTCTTTCTGTTGTTGTTTAGGGTTTGGATTTGAGTGTTGTGTATTGACAGTAGTGTAGTTGTCTGTGGTTGGCGAAGTGGTTTGTGGTCGTTGTTGTCTCATTTTGGCGTTGGGTTTGAACTGACAATGTCTTTGAATCAATGTTGTTCGTCTTGCTCATGGGGGAGCTCTCGTGGTGGTTCATCCAGAGGATTTGTTGGAAGCCAAATATGCCATTGTGGGGAGGTTATTGTGTTGAGAGAGGCAAAAACAGTGAAGAACGAGGGGAAGCAATTCTGGGACTGCCCTAATTACAAGGTTTGTAGTTTAATTTTTGTGTTAAATTATTTTGGTGATTAATGAATTGTTTATGGTTGGATAATTTGAACAGCGGACAAGAAATGAAGAACTTTAGGATGCAATTACTTTAAATGGCGTAATGACGTGTGTTAGGAGTATCAAGGGGGAGGTTTTTGACCGGGAAGTCAATGAGTAATGAGATGTGAGTCCAACCTTATAAGTAGTTGACACCACTCTTCACCCAAAACCTTAAGGTAATGAGTTAATGTGTCTTCCCACTTATAAACCACTCTACTTTCTCATTTCTCTCCAATGTGGGACTTAAACTCACACTTGGATTCCCAACAACGTGTTGTATTACAAAGTTGTTGTTAACAACAGATTGGCTATATTGTAATGTGATGTTTTGAAATGAATGAGAAATGTCAATTTTTGCATATGAATTTATGGTTTCTATATACATTTGGTCTGCTATTCTTGTGAATAATAAAATGACAAAAAAATTGTGGTTGAAATGCGCAATGAGTACAGAACATAAACACATTTAAGTTATTATTATATTTTACAGGTTGATTTTGGTGTGTTGTTGAATGAGGAAAATGTGATGGAAGTGATTAAGAAATTAATTTATTTTAGTTTTATTTAAATTCTCGAAATTACTTAAGGTATGGTTTATACGTTGATGTTTGTATTATGCTATCAAGTACATGGCCTTGGTGGTTATTTGAAAGTATGAGAAAGTCTTGGGCCGTGGTCGATCGTCCTTGGGCTGGACATGATTTCCCCCCACATCTTTTGGTTGGGTGTTACTCCCTCCACCACCACACCTTTCTCCCTCCACCTCCCCTTTACTATTTTGCCCTTAAAGTAAAATTTTATTTTTAGGGTTATTTTTTAATTTTACCCATTCACAACCTATTCCACTAATAACCTATTCTAGTTCCCTGTACATGAGTAAAGTATTTTTCTTTTATTTTAACATTATATTTCTTCATCTCTTTCTTTTGTCGCGATGAGATACTACAAGTTGTAAAGGTTGGTGGTGATGGAAAGAATTATCAAGCAGTCTCCAGTGTCGCTCTCGTGGTGAGTGGTACAATGCGTGTGTTGCTTCTTAAGGTGCGTATTCGAATAAAACTTCAAATAAAACCCTAAAATAAAAAACGTAACCTTTAAATGGAGGTGACATCCTTCAATGTCAAAATCCTTCAACGAATGTTAACATCCGTTTAAGGAAAAAACGGATGTCAACATCCGTTTAAGGAAAAAACGGATGTCAACATCCGTTTAAGGAAAAAACGGATGTCAACATCCGTTTAAGGAAAAAACGGATGTCAGACATCCGTTTTTTCCTTAAGCGGATGTTGACATCCGTTTTTTCCTTAAACGGATGTTGACATCCGTTTTTTCCATAAACGGATGTTGACATCCGTTCTTTCCTTAAACGGATGTTGACATCAATTCTTTCCTTAAATGGACTCCGAGTTACGTTTTTAATTTTAGGATTTGTTTTATTAGTTTATTCTTTATTTTGAAAATATTTTAATAATTTAATTTAAATGTTTTGATTTATTATTTTTTAATATATTTTTAATGTATTTTAATAATGTAAGGAAAATGAAGAAGAAAGAAACGGATGAAGAGAAGTGAAACAGAGAAGACAAATGGAGTTGTAAAGTAAAACAGAAGACAAATTGTTAAACGGAATTGAGAGTAAAGTAGGAGAAATAGGTTTGGAATAAATTAAAATAATAAAAATAAAAAATTTTAATTTGAGGATATAATTGGAATTAAAAAAAATTAGGGAGGTGGAGGGAGAAAGATGTGGTGGTGGAGGGAGCAACACCCCTTTTGGTTTGTTTTTCAATTCTTTGAATCGCAAAGGGCCGTTATGGTGTGAGAAGAGTGGGAGTGTGACGTGAGCTGTGAGAGGGTGCCTTTCGTTTTGCATGGATTAGGAAGAGGGGTTGTAGAGCGTAGGGCGTTCCTCTTTACTTTTCGATGATCATGGGTTAGTG